CACTCACATTTTGACGTAGGGGTCGGAGTAGCCGTTGGCATCCATGGCAGCCAGGTGGGCACAGCGCATGATGCCCACCTGCAGGCCCTGCTTCTGCGAGCTGTACTTGAGGGAGATGAGGATCCTGCCACGCTCCTCCAGCGACTTGTCCTCTGTTTTATCTATCTGGGGAGGGAATGCACCCAGTCTGGGGGCTGCACTGGGGTACAGCCACATCCAGACACCTCCCCAGCCAAGGGATGCTCTTCCCCACATCCCTGATTATATCTGAGGGGCCAAACAGCTCCACATTCCCACATGCCACAGGGAGAGGCTGCTGTGCCTGTGATTCCAGGGTGGGGTGAGGCTCTGAACGCCCCTCACTCACCGGCAGCTGCTTCTCCAGGCAGATGTTGAAGTTTTTGGTCTGGTTGGGTTTCAGTTTCTTCAGCGGGATGCGCGTCTCGCCGATGAACTCGTTGTGCCGGAACTTGTCCTCGTCACACACCGAGATCCTGCAAGAGCACGGGTGAGCAGGGACACTGGGGACAGGGCAAGGTCCCCACAGGGAGGGAGCAGCTGAGGTCACCCTTGTCCAGGCCATGGACAGGGCAGCTCCTCTGATGGCAGCTGGGNTCTGTCCGGGTTCACCAGGGACACAATCATTCCAACAGAGGAGCTTGAAATGCAGAAAAGACTGTTTAGGCCCAAACCACAGAGACTGACAAACCACCAGAGATATGGCACAAGCTGCCTCCAGGAGACAGTTCTGGGTTCTGTGTGTGTGTTTTTTTGGGGACGCCTTTTGCCGATGCCGGACACACGGACGCGGACGGACGCATTCATTTTTTTTTTTTTTTTTGCCACTGACTTGCAAGGCAGCGAGAAGGTAAACTGTGAGTAGAGGCAGGATTTGGGAGAGGAGCCAGACTGCAGTGCATGCAGGGGCGCACACCTGCGTGAGTGCGAGTGTGGGTGTGCAGTGCACGCTGCAGAGCGGGGCTGCGAGTGCGGCAGGGCGCGAAGAGGCGTTCTGGAGACGCCAGAGCAAACCACCTGTGCCTTCTTCCCTGGGAAGGGCTTCCCTGCAGCCAGGCCCTGCTGGGGGTGTCCTGCTGTCCTGGCTGTCCTGGGATCCCCCAAATCCAAAGCTGGGAGGAGCCCAAGGCTGTGGAGCCGCGGGGCTCAGTCGCTGAGCACGGCGCCCGGCAGCTCATTGGTCAGCGTGTGCCAGCGCTCGATCTTCTTGTCCTTGTTCTTCAGGCAGTCGAACCAGTGCTTGAGCCGCTCCCCTTTGGCATTGATCCCCAGCACGACTCCGCCTTGGAGGGAGACAGAGAGGGAGAGCTGTGAGGGAGCATCAGCTCTGCAAAGGATGCTGAGAGATGCTGAGGGGTGTAGCCATGATATTCTCTGAAAAATCCTTTCTTTAGGATTTTTCCTCCTGAGAAGCTGAGAGGCCTCAGGAACAAAATGTAACCCGTGGTTATCTGCTGCTGTGGAGTGCAACAGGTGCATCTGTGATTGGTCTCATGTGGTTGTTTCTAATTAATGGCCAATCACAGCCCAGCTGGCTCAGACAGAGAGTCCAAGCCACAGGCTTTTGTTATCATTCTTTCTTTTTCTATTCTTAGCTAGCCTTCTGATGAAATCCTTTATTCTATTATTTTAGTATAGTTTTAATATATAATATATAATATATATATAATATATAATACATATATAATATATAATATATAATATATAATATATAATATATAATATATAATATATAATATATAATATATATTAGATGTTATATTATATATAAGAATATATAAAAATATATAATGTATATATATATATTTAATATATATATATCACAAAATAATAAATCAAGCCTTCTGAAACATGGAGTCAGATCCTCATCTCTTCCCTCCCCATCAGACCCCTGTGAGCACCATCACAGAGGGGGATGCTGGAGGGAGCCAGGTTTCATTAGCATTCATCAGCATCCTCACAGCATCCAACCTGATGTGAAACCCAGCCCAAATTCCCCACACCCTCGTGGATGTGGTGTGGGACCTGTCCCAGGCATTGCCCCAGCCCCAGGCAGTGCCCCTGTCCCCTGTGCCAAGGGCTCACTGCAATCACAGGGGCTGTCAGAGGTACCAGGCACTTGTTAGTGATAAATCACAGTGACCAGAGACAAAATCACAAACAGCCCAGACATCCAACAGAGATAAATGAAACCTCCCCGTTAAACATGTTTTGCACTCGGAGGAAAACATCTGAAAACAGAAGGGGAGAGGCAGATGCATTTTCTCCCTGCTTGGATGCTCCGTGAGAGGCTCAGGTGCAGGAGAGGGATAAAAGCAGAACAGAAAGCCAGCGAGAATGAATGTGGGCACGGAGAAAAAACCAGGGGGGCAGAGGAGTGCAGGAGAAATGAGAGGCACAGACAGCAAAGATAAATAAAAAAGAGGCCAAGGAGACCTTCTGAAGTATGCCGCTCACCTATGAAATCGTTGGATTTCCCGATGTCATAGTCCCACACTGTGACTTCCAGGGTCTTCTTTGCCAGGTCACCGTGCTTTATCTCGTAGAAAAACTCCTGTGGAGGAGCAGAGGCAGAGCCAGGATGAGCCAGGGGCTGGGGCTGCCCATCCTCCTCCTCCTCCTCAGGCTTTGCTGCCCACGGGGAACCCAACCCAATCCCTCACACAGTGACCAAGGTGGTGAATTTTTATCTTTTAAGTCAGAGGTTGAGAAGAGCCCCTTGGTGAGAACCACACCCACCTCATTGAACTCGGGGTTCAGCGTTTTCTTCTTCACTGCTGTCTTGTGCTTGGATTTCTTGTCCTCATCTGGTTTCAAGTAACTGCAAGGAGACCAGAGTGGGTCCCAGTGAGGAGGGCAGGAGAACACGGGCGGGGACATCAGTGGCTGCAGCTCCTGAGCAGAGCCAGGGTGGGGTGGGTGACTGAGCCCCTTGAACCTCCAGATCCTCCTCCCCTGCCAAAATGCTGAGGCCAGCTGGGGGGAGGCAGCATTTCAGCATTTCCCCTCCTTAGAACCAAGCCAGCTGCCGTCAGAGAGCGCCGATTATCCCATCTCCAGTCCCTAGGGGACACTGGCACTGCACACAAAATGCTCTCCACAGCCAGCACTCCCAGCCCAGGACCTGTCCACACTCTGGGTTGTGACTGGTCTGCTCATGCAGAGCCTCTCCAGGAGACAGGAACCACATGCAGGGTGGGAAATGGAGCAACTTTGAGCAGCTTTGAGCAGCTCCCTGCTGATATCCTGGACAGAAAACAAGATTAAAGTGTCATCAGGCAGAGAGGGGGACCTGAAATGTGGGCCAGGCCAAAGCCAGCCCATCGTGGTTTTGTGCTGGTGCTGCGCCTTTAAACATGAGTTCTGCTTCCTTGCTACACATTCCAGATCTTGCTGATAATTAAAAAAATTAGGGCTTGTACTGAGAAGCATCAGTTCCCTATCTGCTCTGATCCCTGCAGATGCAATCTCCTGAGGATGGCACAGGGGACACCCAAAACTGGCTGGGTGCAATGGCAATTGTGCTGCTCAGGGACTGAGCCTCCCATGGGCATCTAAAAAAGCACCAGGGGATTTTTATACAAACACCTCCACCCCTAAAAACCAACTAAATAAGAAGGTGAAAGTGTGCTGCTGATGAACTCCATCCCTGGGTCTCCCAGGTGAGGCTTCTCCCAGTGGTTCTGCCTTAGCAAATCCCATCCCTAAAAGTGCCCAAATCTGAGTTCAGCACAGTGGGGACAAGGAGGTGGGACAGGCAGGGAGTGAATTTGAAAAATGCCATCCCAAAAAAACCAGGAGCTGTGGTGAGACAGAGACATCCCCTCAGCACCAAGTGCTGTGCCCACCTCACCTGGAAGCTCTGCCAAGCAATGCCAGGGAATAACGCCCCAGGCAGGGGCAAGCTGCTGCCTGACGGCCTCATTTGCATCTCCTAATGAGAGCAATTAATTCCCGATGCGGGGAGGG